CTGACAATGATTTAATCTGCTTTTCTGGGATGCAGCCATCTTTATTCAGTCATCCAGGGTCGTACTCTACTTCCTGGACTGAAATGCTGATTCAGAGATGAACCAATCATATATGTCCTGGTGCCTGTGCCGTTCTTGTTTATAATGTCTGACACATATTAACACTGCAGCTTCTTACCTTGTTACTTGCTATAAACTTATACAATAAACAATGAAGACCTGTTTAATAGTCTACAGAAGACTATAAAAAATCCTCTTATTTAAAGTGGTTGTAAAGGCTGAAGGTTTTTTTTTACCTTCATGCAATCTATGCCAGTGAGGAGGGAGCAGGGGACAGGGCGGGGCCAGCCTCTGCACGTCTCATAGACACAGAGGCGGCTCAGGAGCAAGCATGCATGAGTGCCCCAGGAGCAAGCAGCTTGCTCTGGGGTCACTCAGCAGAGGGAGGGTGGGGACCCAAGAAGAGATGGATCGGGGCTGCTCTGTGCAAAACCATTACACAGAGCAGGTAAGTATTACATGTTTATGACATGGTCTAAAAAAAAAAAAAAGGAATCTTTATAGCCACTTAATATATTGTATATAACCATAGAGCAGTGATCTCATTTAGATATTACACAAAAAAACAATGTTAAAAGCACCACGGTAACAATATCCCATACTAATATATAACCCATCTGCATCCTACACCACATAAAATATACATTAGTCTTACTCATTGCGAAGAGGGATGAGCATGACAGCCAGGCAAACAGAACTGTGATAAGGAGAGGTATTTAACCGCTTGCCTACAGGGCACTTATACCCCCTTCCTGTCCAGGCTAATTTCCAGCTCTCAGCGCTGTCACACTTTGAATGACAATTGCGCGGTCATGCAACACTGTACCCATATGAATTTTTTTTTCGCATTTTTTGTGACAGATAGAGTTTTATTTTGATGGTATTTAATCACCTCGGGGTTTTTTATTTTTCTTAACCAAAAAACCGCTGAAATTTTATTTTTTTTTTTTAATGTTTTTTTCTTAGTTTTTGTTGTAAAATTTTGTAAATAAGTGATTTTTCACCTTCACTGATGTGCGCTAATGAGGCTGCACTAATGGGCACTGATAGGTGGCACTGATGAGGAGGCACTGGTAGGTGGCACTGATGGGCATTGACAAGCATCACTGATGGGCACTGATTGGCAGCACTGATGCACACTGATAGGCGGCACTGAAAGGCAGCTCAGATGGGTACTGATATGTGGCATTGATGTGGCACTGGTACTTGGCACTGTTCAGCACTGGCAGCTAGCACTGATGGGCACTGACAGGTCGCACTTCTGGGGCCACACTGATGATCAGTGCACATGTCCCCTCCGCGGAATGCTGATTACCGGCTCTCCTCTCCTCTATCAGCGTGACAGCTCGTGAGGAGAGAAATGCTGATAACCATCATTTCCCTGTTTACATGTGATCAGCTGTGATTGGACACAGCTGATCACATGACCGAGCCGACATCTTCGGCTCTTTCCGTAGATCGGTGATCGGACACAGCGCACCGCGGATCGCCACGCTGCACGCTCCCTAAGCCGCGCATGCGCGGTGAGAATGGGAGGATGTCGTATGACGTCCTCCCAGAACGAGAGAACCACCTTGCGCCCGTCATTGGACTATATGGCAGGTGGCTAATGGCAACTTCCCCTAGGTCCCATGCACACCGTATTGTATTCATGTGCGTTCTTTTGCCTCTTTTTTTTTTTTTTAACATGACGCACATAGGGGATCTCGTTCACTCAATTTTCTTCTGGAAGTGGAAGTCCCCATCCCACTGCCAAAACACAGCGCAGTATACTGTACGCAGCCTCGCCTACATACAGAGCTTAATATAGTAAGGCCAAGAAGTGGGTCTATTAGTGTAGAAAATTGTTTGTTTGGGCTACCTTGGCTAGTTAAAAAGGTGAACATCACGTTTAAAGTTCTTGCAGGGGCCAATTTACCCCCGGTTCACATATATGCGCCCGTGAAGGTCGCGTTTTGCGCGGGCACGAGAGCCCATTCATTTGAAGTCCCTACACTTCTGAAAACGCAGCCCGCACGGGAACCTCGGTCCACAGTACGGTTGCATTTTCCAGTGCGGGCTGCATGCCATCAGAGCTAATGGCACCCGCCGCGGGTCCGCATTTCTCTGTGCGGGTGGTGCGGCTGCACGGATTTTCATGCGGATCCGCATGCGGCACCACCCGCACAGATGTGTACCGAGCCTTAGTGTAGAAAATAGTTTGTTTGGGCTACCTTGGCTAGTTAAAAGGTGAAGATCAGGTTGAAGTTCTTTCAGGGGCCAAACAACAAACGGATATTAACGGAAGTAAACGGATGATCTGTTTACATCCACTAGTCCATAGAAATACATGGGTGTCCGTTTTTCATCCGTAAACGGACAGATGAAAAACGGACATATACGGAACCCCTGTGTGAAAGAGGCCTTTACTGTATATAAACTGTATCACTCTCACGTTTATTAAGAAGAAGAAAACACATTTTTCTAACAAGTAATTCACATTTTCTTTATTAATTAAATTATCATACCCAGCTAAATAATAAAAAGGGAAAGAAGACTGGGGCCCCGTTCTTAGTATTTTGGGCTCAGTTTAGTCCTTTCAGTCATTGTGTCCCTCCTTCAGTGTAAGGTTTTGATGTTAGCTCTTAGAAGACTGGATGAAGTCCCAGGTATGGAACGTTAATCCACCATGGTGGCTGCGCTCCCAAAAAAGCTCTGGATAGAAAGTCACACATGTCAGTGATGTGTCAGCAATGTGACACCTTGTTTAGTATGATGAGGGATTTATTATGTTGTTACACCAGACTTCAATCAGTGTGATAACTAGATCAAGCAGGACAAACACACACACACTTGATGGACTACAAGTACCGGCATGTCATGACAAGAAATAAGCAGATATTACCAAGGACTTGTAAGAACCCTCTTTATCAGTGGTGGATAACTTTCTGGATATGGTGGGTCCCAAGTGCTCAAAGGGCTGAACACTGAGTGAATATGATGTATAATAGTGTCAGACACATAAAAGATTGTATTCAAAGACTAATGACACATAGAAGAGATGGCGAGAGGCGGCCAGAGATGGTACAAGAGGCGGGCAGAGGCGATACAAGAGGCGGGCAGAGGCGATACAAGAGGCGGGCAGAGGCGATACAGAGGCGGGCAGAGGCGATACAAGAGGCGGGCACGAGGCGATACAGAGAGGCGGGCAGAGACGGCAGACACGATACCAGAGACGGTCAGAGACGGCACGATACAGATACAGAGACGGCCGACACGATACCAGAGACGGGCAGAGACGGCAGACACGATGCCAGAGACGGCAGAGACGGCCGACACGATGCCAGAGACGGGCAGAGACGGCCGACACGATACCAGAGACGGACCCAGACACGATACCAGAGACGGCCGACCGCAGACACGATACAAGAGACGGTCAGAGACGCAGTACAGAGACGGTCAGAGACGGTCAGAGACGATACCAGAGACGGTCAGAGACGGCGACACGATACCAGAGACGGTCAGAGACGGCCGACACGATACCAGAGACGGCCGACACGATGCCAGAGACGGTCAGAGACGGCCGACACGATGCCAGAGACGGTCAGAGACGGCCGACACGATGCCAGAGACGGTCAGAGACGGCCGACACGATGCCAGAGACGGTCAGAGACGGCCGACACGATGCCAGAGACGGTCAGAGACGGCCGACACGATGCCAGAGATTGGTCGACACGATGCCAGAGACGGGCAGAGACGGCCGACACGATGCCAGAGACGGGCAGAGACGGCCGACACGATGCCAGAGACGGTCAGAGACGGCCGACACGATGCCAGAGACGGTCAGAGACGGCCGACACGATGCCAGAGACGGTCAGAGACGGCCGACACGATGCCAGAGACGGGCAGAGACGGTCAGAGACGGCGACACGATGCCAGAGACGGGCAGAGACGGCCGACACGATGCCAGAGACGGGCAGAGACGGCCGACACGATGCCAGAGACGGGCAGAGACGGCCGACACGATGCCAGAGACGGGCAGAGACGGCCGACACGATGCCAGAGACGGGCAGAGACGGCCGACACGATGCCAGAGACGGGCAGAGACGGCCGACACGATGCCAGAGACGGGCAGAGACGGCCGACACGATGCCAGAGACGGTCAGAGACGGCCGACACGATGCCAGAGACGGCAGACACGATGCCAGAGACGGCCGACACGATGCCAGAGACGGCAGACACGATGCCAGAGACGGCAGACACGATGCCAGAGACGGCAGACACGATGCCAGAGACGGCAGACACGATGCCAGAGACGGCAGACACGATGCCAGAGACGGGCAGAGACGGCAGACACGATACCAGAGATGGTCAGAGACCGCAGAGTCAGTGTCAGGATTAGAGTTTGGGTCAAGGCTAGGATCAAAGGTCATGGTTGGGGGTCAAAGGTCAGGGTCAATTTTTTTTTAAGGTGGGATTTAAAATATAAACAAGAAAAAAAAATAATCAAAATTTTGTATTGATGTCAGTAAAGCCAACCACAGATGAAGAGATTTTTTTTCCTGCAAAAAAAAAAAAAAAAAATGCTCGATTCCCTCATCACAACACTCAGTGTTTCTGTAGGAATCCCTCCCGCAGTTATTGTGCCATGAGAACACAATGATTACTGCTAGAGGCTATAATAGGTGCTAGCAATAATTGCATGTAAAATCTGACAGGATGATTTTACCCAAGCTGATTGATCGATCAACTTGGGTACATTCAGCCTGCCCATACATGATTCGAATCTCAGGACAGTCCCAGGTGAAGATTCGAACCGTCTATGACCGGCTTTAGTGTCAGTATGTTTTAGGTAGGATAAAAGAAAAGCAAAAGTTTGATTATTTCTGGGCCCTACAACAGGTACAAACAACAAACAGGCAGTCCCAGGGTTACGAACACGATAGGGTCTGTAGGTTGTTTGTTCTTAAAGCGGAGTTCCACTCACCCTGTCAAAAAATAAAAAAGTCAGCAGCTACAAAAACTGTAGCTGCTGACTTTTAAAAAAACAACCACTTACCTGTCCCTCGGTCCCGTGGTGTGTCCCCCGCAGCCCGTTTCACCAGCCGTCCTGTATTCCAGGAGGTCGGCATCTTCAGTGTGGGCACCCGGCTGTGATAGCTTGCGGCTTCACAGCCGGGTACCCACTGCGCATGCGTGAGTAGCTCTGCACTTCATGAATGGTCCTGTAGTCTTCTGGGACCTGTCACATGCCCCAAAAGACTACGATGTAGTGAGGGAGGACAACTTCCGCTTGCATAGGCAATTGGACCGGAAGTGGGAGCGGGTACCTGTCAAATTCGGGTACCGGCCCCCCCAAAGGTGCCAATCCTTAATGGGGAGTGGGTTAGCAGTCCTTAAGCTCCCTAGCGGTCTGATTATTATTATGTCCATATTTCTGTGCTCAAGCGGTACTTTTTTTGCATGGAAATATGTTTTTTTTTGTTTTTTTTATTGTAGGCCTGTCATTTTTAGGAATAACTCACTGAAATCTGTCCGAACAAGAGTCTAGTAAACATCCCGGGTATGTTAAAATTTGAAACACGAAATCATAAATTATAATTTAATAATCATAAAAAAATAATAATATAATAAATTAATTCAATAATATAATCAAACCAAAAACACTGAAATGTGAAATATAGCGCCAAGTTCGCACATCACTGAGCAAAGTCGCAGAATTGTTTTCAGTGTCTGATGATGAATTTCCCCCACGAATCATTATCACTCAATTCTGCAAGTGGTTCTGATTTACTATCCCTGTTCTCTAGCCGGTCTAAAACCGCTTTTGACCTAAAGGGACGCTTTTTGGACGCCATGGACGTTTCTCAGTTTCCAGGCAGAAAGAACAGTAAAAATGCAGGCAGGGCGCCGGACAAAGCACTCGGGACAAAATGTATGTGAAATGGTTTGATACAGGAATGTTATACTATGTGATTTTAGTGTATTTAGTGAATGTCACTTTTTGTCATTTTCAAATTTCCCGCCGTTCAGTCCCCTGTACGTCCTGATGTCGCAGGGAACGGAACCCAGAAGACAGATGCCGGCATCGGCCGGAGGACATTGCTGGGGACACTGCAGGAGGGACATCGCGGGAGCGCAGGACAAGGCAAGTGAAGAAGAGATCCCGGAGCAACGCTGCAGTGTATTCCCGAGTGTAGCTCGGGGTTACGGCTTTTGGTACTGAAACTTTACCCCGAGCTACACTCTGGAATACCGCCAGGGAGGCTACAGCGAATGTTCCATTTTGGGTGGAGCTCCACTTTAAGTTGAATTTGTATGTAGGTTGGCACAGGTACCTTTTTTTTTTTTTTTTTTTTTTGTAGCTCCAGCCAAAAAAAAAATTATTTTTAAGTTTTTTTAGATAGCATAGGGAAGTGTTAACAGCCCTGTAATGTTAGTTTTGCTGTCTGTGCCTCTATTCAGAGGATTTCACCACACTTGTCTGTCCCACCGACAATTGGCTTTTGAACATTTTGGGCTGAAACAAGGATTGGTGATAAACCTTCAGTGGAGACACATTTTTCCCATGATAACTCTTACAGGAGTGAATTTCCCTTCCTAGGGGCAGATTTACTCTCGCTTCTTGTTTCTCCCTCCGTTCGCATATACGACTCATTCGTAATGCGAATGTTCGGAACTCGGGGACTGCCTGTACACATGTGTACATACATAAAAAGGTGCAGCGCTAAATTAACTAAAAACAGCATATTATAGCATAAAATAAAGTGCAAAGTATTAGATCACACTGAGGTGAACTTGAGTGAATAAAAAGTCCCAAGATAAATGAGGGCCCAACGCGGGGATCCGGTAGATCCTAATAAGTGCGTGGGGCAGGGTTCCAGTGTACCACACGGTGAATCTAGGGTAAAAAAATGCGCACTCACCAGAAGTGCGTCAAAAATACGCATGTGAAATTATCCTGTTACATCAGGTAGCGGTCATCTACTGCCAAGGTAAGGTCAGGGTCATACACCTTTCAATCGCAACTCAGGGTAGGTACTCCAAGAGTCTCAAACGTGTCACCATCTGGGGTCCCTGTGAACAAGTTCTGCAAGTGGGGAAGTTCACACCACACGCAGTTCCGGCACAGTTTGCCATGTTCCAGTATAATTCCGCACCCCGCACAACGCCGCCCCGGCTGCCATGCTCAGTGTGTATCCGCCGAATGACTTCTCGTTCCGCTGCTCTGAAGGTTCCTACCCGCCTGAGAGAGAAAGACAGAGAGAGCGGGCGGAGCCTGAGCAACCCAACCATACAAGTCTACGGAGTCTATCTCCTCCTCACCCCTCTCACCTCCTCCTACACATGTGTAGTATCACTGGAACTGTCAGGAGCAGGAGAATTTTTGTGGTTGCGATCTAATAATTAGCATTTTTATTGCCATCTGGGCTTTATGGCAATGATTTACCTTCACAACATGTGCTGGTAGCTATGCAATAAGGGTGAAATCCAAACAAAACACACATCTCCATGGAGTACCCCCAACCATGACCTCTTATTTGTTCCATTGTAGCCTATTATTTATACCAATAAAAGCATTTTGATATATATTTTCGAGTAAAAACATATATCTGTTGATCCTGCCAGAAATCTTGTGTGCCGGCAACTTCCTCTGCTCTCTGCCTATTCTGCATTCTTATTGGCTAGACTTAGTTTACACCTGCCGCTGGGATGAGGTAAAAGGCACCTGAACCACAATTTTTACTGCCTCTCCCGATTGCCCCATCTTCCTTAATCTGCAGAGGCAGCTAGACGGAATGGAGACAAGTCGTGGCTTCGCATGGCAAAAAATTCCCCCCCCCCCCCCCCCCCAATCTCATTTGCTGGACAGTACTGTAGCGGAATGCTACACATTCAAGGGAATGGGGCAGCACCACAACTGCAAACCAATAACTAGGCTTGCAGATGCGGCCTGGTATACGCATTGAAAAAGACTGTTTAGCTGTCAAAAAAGCCAATTTAGGAGACAGCAGTATCACCTCCTGAATGCCAGTCAACCGCGCCTGAACCGACATAGGGACTTGAAGGACTACAAAGCCCCACTTCCCCCAGTTATGTTATGGAGCAGGAGAGCGGGGAAGATGTTCTGTAGACATTATGCATTTGAGAAAATAATACATCTCAGTGGGTCAGCTGGGTCCTCCTATGGACTCCTCTATCCTGGTAAGGACTTCCCTCTGGTTCATCAATGGGATGCCGCACCTCTCAGTTCCTCTCTAAGTGGGCTCTGTGGGTGGTAGGCTCAACAGGAGCCCCAAGAAAGGATGCCAAAATGGTGCGATATCGTTTCAAACAGGGGATATTTTATTGATCCATAGCAGGAATAGACAAACAGTATAAACAGACTGACCATGAGTTGAATCAAGATGGCCGCCGGACCAGCATGGGCCCCGGCAGCTTGACGTCTGGACGCTGCAGCTCTTCCTTACGCGTTTCGTGCTCAAGCACGTATTCATAGGGAGTGTGCCTGTCAGTCTGGTGGTGCCGCATCCCATTGATGAACCAGAGGGAAGTCCTTACCAGGATAGAGGAGTCCATTGGAGGACCAAGCTGACCCACTAAGATGTGTTACTTTCTCAAATTCATGATGGAATTATGCATCTGGTGAGTGTGTAATTCACATATTTGATCACCAGAAGATGCACAGTGGATCACTTGAATAAGAGCTTCACAAAATATATATACACACACACACACACACACACATATATATATATACATATACATATATATATATACACACACATATACATACACACACATACACATATATATATACACACGCACATATACACACACACATATATACACACATACTATATCACCTCATCACCAATAGTCACCATCTTGGACGTGCGTTTGCATTTTGTCACTTTATGCGTGTTTTCCTGATATTGGAATATATGCATTTGCAATATTATATATATATATACATATATATTTACACACACACTTAGTGTACATTTAATACTATTCACCTAGTTTTAGGACGTGCTGTCTGCACTTTTGTCAATTTTTTATTGGAAATATATTTGCAATTCGATTTCTTGTGTACTTTTAATTTTTTTTAGGTTGCTGCTTGCAATTTTATTTATTACTTTGATGTGGTTTTTTTAGCGCTGCACCTTCATTTATCATACTTGGTCTCTGGAGGTTGTTGGTACGTTTCGGTGTACAGCGGCTCAATTTTAGCACTCACTTTTACACTTGTGTTCTGTAGACATGTCCTAGTGTGACAATTCTGCTCCCAGTGAATGAGTGTTGTCACTGTAGGACAGGACGTGTGTTACTGGCAGGATCACCAAAAGAAAAAAGGAAAAAAAAATGCCTGGAAAAAGAAAGCTAACAGCTGTTAAATCTAGGGACTGATAGGCTGAAATATATTACATTTTCGTTCTTGATTTTAGATGCATTTCCAAATTTTGGATAATTGAGCAAACAAAGATCCCCCACAAAACTGACATGAATCAGAACAGCAGATATCGCCCAATGCTACATTTAGCAACGGGCAAGAATGGCAAATCTGAAATTGCTGCAAATGAATCGCTTTTGATGACAATGGCATTTTCCTAAGCGGAGAATGCAGGAAATAAGGTGCAGTGTGACAAGTCACAACTAACTAATCAAAACATTCAAACTTGAATTTTTCTTCAGAGATAAGACTGTGAACAGAGTGTGTCCATGTTTACACAGGGATGGGCCACGCTGCAGCAACATCCACCCCACAGGACACCAAATTACAGGTTGAAGCTTTACCATGAATAGGTCCTACACAGACTACTGCCTATGAACGACAGACTAGCACAAGGCATGAACCCAAAGAAAGCACAGCAGATACCATTTGTAGAGTAACAAGTGTATCCTAGAGCAAAAGGTTAACTTCCCGACACAAGTACAGGACAAAAAAAAAAAAGAAAAGTATATTAAGATTTGAACATGTGTGCACACTGGGCATACACAAAACATGTACAGGGGGACAGCGACATAACGCAGCATTGTGGTGACTCCAGATCACAAGAGAAGAACCGTTCACTTACCAAGGGGTGAGAAGCAGAAACAGGAGAAATGAGGGCGAACTTGTAACAGAAAAAGAAACAGCACAAATATAATATTCTACATGAGATGGGTGGGCCTGGCCAAGGGTGAGAGATATATACACGGCTCAAAAAAAAAAAAAATGAAAGGAACACATATCTCAATGGGGAAGAATCTCCTGCTGGATCTCTATACTGACATGGACGGGGTGATGTGTTGGGAATGTAAGGATGCCCCATCGTTTGATGGAAATAAAAATGATTGACCTACAGAGGACTGAATTCAAAGACACCCTGAAAATCAAAGTGAAAAAATGATGCAGCAGGCGAGTCCATTTGGCTGAAATGTCATTGCAGCAACTCAGAATGGTCCTCAGTAGTTTGTATGGCCCCCACGTGCTTGTATGCATGCCTGACAACGTCGGGGGAGGGTCCTAATGAGACCACGGATGGTGTCCTGGGGGATTTCCTCCCAGATTTGGACCAGGGCATCACTGAGCTCCTGGACAGTCTGAGGTACAACCTGGAGGCGTCGGATGGACCGAAACATAACATCCCAGAGGGGTTCTATTGGATTTAGGTCAGGCCAGCGTGGGGGCCATTCAATGCTATCAATTTCTTCATCCTCCAAGAACTGCCTGCATACTCTCCACATGAGGCCGGGCATTGTCTGCACCAGGAGGAACCCAGGACCCACTGCACCAGGAGGCCCAGGACCCACTGCACCAGGAGGAACCCAGGACCCACTGCACCAGGAGGAACCCAGGACCCACTGCACCAGGAGGAACCCAGGAACCAGGAGGAACCCAGGACCCACTGCACCAGGAGGAACCCAGGACCCACTGCACCAGCGTAGGGTCTGACAACGGGTCCAAGGATTTCATCCCAATACCTAATGGCAGTCAGGGTGCCATTGTCTATCCTGTAGAGGTCTGTGCGTCCCTCCATGGATATGCCTCCCCAGACTATCACTGACCCACCACCACCAAAACGGTCATGCTGAACCATGTTACAGGCAGCAGAACGTTCTCCACGGCTTCTCCAGACCCTTTCACGTCTGTCACATGTGCTCAGGGTGAACCTGCTCTCATCTGTGAAAAGCACAGGGGGCCAGTGGTGGACCTGACAATTCTGGTGTTCAATGGAAAATGCCAATCGAGCTCTATGGTGCCGGGCAGTGAGCACAGGGCCCACTAGAGGACGTCGGGCCCTCAGGCCACCCTCATGAAGCTG